CACGAAACGCTGTACTGGGTGGGTGAAACGCAAGGAGGAGGGAGAAGGGGGAGGAAGGAAGGAAGGAGGGAGGAGGAACGCGGGGACCGTCTCTTCAAAACGAAAACCCAACACCACAGGATGGTTGGGAATTGCCAGAGTTTCACAGATTCAAGGCGGTCGGTTTTCAATATGTGGCTCTCGCCTTAGCGCCGCGCACACTCATTTGAAATGAAAACTGTGCAAGCGTTTCACGACTTGATGGCGGGTGGTTTTCACAATGTGGATTTCGTCTTAGCGCCGCGCACATTCTTTTTAAGAATTTGCCCCCCAAAAAAAAACTTCACGGTTTGACGGCGGTTCCTTTTCAATATGTGGCTCTCGCCTCAGCGCCGCGCGCACTCGTTTTAAGAATTTGCAAGAGCTTCACGGATTGAGGGCTGCTCCTTTTCAAAATGTGGCTTTCGCATTAGCACCGCGCACATTCGTTCATAAATTTTACGAGAGTTTCACGGATTCCCATGATCAACGTACAAGAGATGGCGTTCTGGAAGGATTCAGGGTTATGCGGGTGCAGAAATTATGTTGATTAGCGGTGCTGGCATTCCAAAAATGGCGTCATGGCACGATTCCAGATCGTCAAGTTGTTCCGTGGCGTTGAAATCCCGAAAACAATGTTTTGGCATGCTTCAGGGTCTTCAAGGGTGTCTTCCAACGAGGCCTGTCCCCCAATGGAAATGAACCGTTGTAGTGGTTTATGAGGAGGGAGCTTGGAGGGAGGGTTAATTCCTACATCGTTGATGACTCTTTGGTTTACATTGGTCCTCCTCCTCCTCCTCCTCCTCCTCCTCCTCCTCCTCCTCCTCTTTCTCCCCCTCCTCCTCCTCCTCCTGCTCCTCCTCCTCCTCCTTCTCCTCCTCCTCCTCCACCTCCTCCTCCTACCTCCTGCGGTTAGAGTGACACACACACACACACACAGCGTGCATCTCCAGGTGTTCGGCCGCACGCTGAGCGTCAGAATGCGTGGCGTGTCGACCCAGCGTAGCGTGAACTTCAGGGGTGTAGGCAAGATCTATAGAACGCCACCAAGGGGAAAACCAAGCACAAACACACACACACACACACACACACACACACACACACACACACACACACACACACACACACACAAAACAACCACCTTCTATACATGTGGTGGTTACATTCGGGACCACTCAATGCTGACGGGCATGCTGAAAAACCCGCAGTGCTGAAGAAGAGCACCCATCAATGAACTCAGAAGAACGCAGCAAGAAGAGCAGCGGCACCGCGTAAACCGTACCTGTCCTGGGCCTCCCAGGAGCCCACGAAAGTGGCGACAGTTGCGCAGATCGCAGCCCCCCAAGGCGCCGCGAGGTCTCGAGGTGGTTCGCGTGGGACGTACCTCCGCTGGGCCTCCCAGGAGCCCGCGAAAACGGCGACAGTTGCGCAGATCGCAGCCCCCCAAGGCGCCGCGAGGTCTCGAGGGGGTCCGCGTGGGACGTACCTCCGCTGGGCCTCCCAGGAGCCCACGAAAGTGGCGACAGTTGCGCAGATCGCAGCCCCCCAGGGCACCGCGAGGTCTCGAGGTGGTCCGCGTGGGACGTACCTCCGCTGGGCCTCCCAGGAGCCAACGAAAATGGCGACAATTGCGCATATCGCAGCCCCCCCAGGGCGCCGCGAGGTCTCGAGGTGGTCCGCGTGGGACGTACCTCCGCTGGGCCTCCCAGGAGCCCACGAAGCGGCGACAGTTGCGCAGATCGCAACCCCCCAGGGCGCCGCGAGTTCTCGAGATGGTCCGCGTGGGACGTACCTCCGCTGGGCCTCCCAGGAGCCCACGAAAGTGGCGACAGTTGCGCAGATCGCAGCCCCCTCAGGGCCCGCGAGGTCTCGAGGTGGTCCGCGTGGGACGTACCTCCGCTGGGCCTCCCAGGACGCGATGCGCAGATCGCAAGCCCCCCAAGGACACCGCGAAAGTGGCCACAGATCAGCCCCCCAGGCGCCGCGAGGTCTCGAGGTGGTCCGCGTGGGACGTACCTCCGCTGGGCCTCCCAGGAGCCCACGAAAGTGGCGACAGTTGCGCAGATCGCAGCCCCCCGAGGCGCCGCGAGGTCTCGAGGTGGTCCGCGTGGGACGTACCTCCGCTGGGCCTCCCAAGAGCCCACGAAAATGGCGACAAATGCAAACATCGCAGCCCCCCCAGGGCACCGCGAGGTCTCGAGGTGGTCCGCGTGGGACGTACCTCCGCTGGGCCTCCCAGGAGCCCGCGAAAACGGCGACAGTTGCGCAGATCGCAGCCCCCCAAGGCGCCGCGAGGTCTCGAGGGGGTCCGCGGGACGTACCTCCGCTGGGCCTCCCAGGAGCCAACGAAAGTGGCACAATTGCACAGATCGCAGCCCCCCCCTCCCCCCAGGGCGCCGCGAGGCCTCGAGGTGGTCCGCGTGGGACGTACCTCCGCTGGGCGTCCCAGGAGCCCACGAAAGTGGCGACAGTTGCGCAGATCGCAGCCCCCCAGGGCGCCGCGAGGTCTCGAGGTGATTCGCGTGGGACGTACCTCCGCAGGGCCTCCCAGGAGCCAACGAAAGTGGCGACAATTGCGCATATCGCAGCCCCCCAGGGCGCCGCGAGGTCTCGAGGTGGTCCGCGTGGGACGTACCTCTGCTGGGTCTCCCAGGAGCCCACGAAAGTGGCGACAGTTGCGCAGATCGCAGCCCGACGGCACGAGAGAAGAGGAGAGGGGAACACAGGAGGCAGGAGAGGAGATGGGGAGGAGAGGGAAGGAGGAGGAGGACGGGGCGACCACACTGCTCTATTCAAAACGAGTACCCAACACAGGAGGGTTGGGAAAATTAGTCACGTAGGGGAGGATTGGCGTGTACTGACCCCGCGCCTTGGGCCCAATCCAAGAAGCCACCATCCTATGAAGCGGGGGGCAGAGAAGACGATCGCACCGATTCGGTTGTGGGGAAAACCAACGGATCGGGCCCGCTCCCGCACGGCGACAAGAACGACTGGCGCAACACCCTCTGAGCCTCCTCTTCCGCGAACTTGGCGAACCTGTCGACGCTCCGGTAGACCTTGAGCGCAACGGTCGACGCTCGGGAAAGCTTGGAGACGTCGCGGCACAGCCACACCTGGACTCCAACACTCAGGAGTCGGATGAGGAGGAGGGGAGGAGGAATACGAGGATGAGAAGCAGGACGAAAGGGATAAGGATGAGGAGGGGAGGAAAAGCAGCAGCAACAGCAGGAAGAGGACGAGGATGGGCAGGAGGACACGTAGGATAGGGCAGGAGGAGGCAGGAGGAGGAGGATGAAGAATGACTAGCAGCTGGAAGGGGACCAGGAGGAAGCGGGTGAGGGTGGGTGGAGAAGGGCAGGGGAGGAAGAGTAGAGAAGAGGAGGCGGCGGAGAGGCAATCGGGAGGTTGGAGGGCTATGAGAAACTGCTACCACCGATCCTGGATCATGGACCACCGATCATCGATCGTAATTCCCGTCCCCTGGTCGTCGCGCGCACCGTGGAGAACTGCCCCTTGCCCAGCTTGCCCTCCACCGTGTACCGACCGCCGAAAACGTCCCCGATGCGCGTCGGGTGCAGACCCACCTGAACAAGAAGGGGAAGAGGAATGGAAGAAACAGCAAAAGGACAGGGAGGAAGGGGATGAGAGAACTGGGAAGGTGGGACTGAGGAGCAGGTGGTTCCACCTCCTCGCCTCACCACCTCCTCCCCTTCCTCCTCCTCCTCTTCCTCCTCCTCCTCCTCATCCTCCTCTTCGTCCTCTTTCGCCTGTTCATCCCTCTTCGTAATCCCCCGTGTCCTCCTCCTCCTCCACCCAATATGGACACTACTGTCTTATCTCCGATTCCATGCTTTCTCACACACAGAGTGTCGTTGTGGTGGTATGTCTTTCGGTCTGACCATATTTGGCACGATCTTTCCTGCGTGTTTTTGAATTTCGGTCGTTTTCGGCCGTTCGTTTTCGGCCGTCGAAAGGCGCTTTCGCATAGGCGTTTGACGCATTCTCCTCCTCCTGTATTACTATTCTTAATATTACTAATACGAATATAACTATTCATATGTTTCTTGATATGCGAAACTGCGTCATTGCGATTAGGAGTATTATTGTTGATATTAGCAGTCGTATCATTGGTACAGATTTAAATAATAGCACTATGAATAGACTTATATTCACTACGAATTGTAGTATCAGTACTAGTACGACTAACATGTGTTATTACTATTGTGCGCAATGTTATTCGTATAGGTATTATCGTTATTATCACTACTTAATTGAACATAGTATGAACTCTAGTTCTACTATTAGTAATCGTCATAGTATTATGAATAGTAAGTGTCCATAATATTAATCGAAGGACTAGATGCATTGGTTCACGATTGAAACTACTAGAACCATCGCGCGCTTCAAGCGCTTTCAAAATCTAGCTAGGCTGGATGGTCGAACTCTTGGGGATCTCGTTTCCACGATACTTCTCTGGGGATTCCAAGAAGCACGAAGACGGCCGAAGCGGCGTCCAAGACTTCCCATGGCCCACCCACAACCTCTTGATTAAGACAGGTTCAAAAGGCACTCCGGGGGCTCTTTTTCGCCGCGGCTGGACGTAGCCGGAGAAAGATAGAGGAGAAGGGGAGGCGAAGGGCTTCCCTGGGGAAAAGGATACGGAGGATGAGGAAGTGGAGAGGGAGGAAGAGGCCGCAAAGCACGAACCGGAGGAGGAGAAAGAGGAGGAGGAGGAGGGAATATGATATTTCCCTTTTGACAAGCGTAGCGAACTTGCCAGGCGAACTTTGAAAAACAAATATTGGACATCCCGTTTTTCTCAAGTGCCCTCGGGGCCTCTCTCGGGGCCTTTTTTGACCTCTCTGGGGCTTTTTGGGGGCCTCCTAAAGCCTCCTGGGGGTTTCCTGGGGCGAAGATCTCGGGTTCTCGGCCCACGTTCCCGATCCGGGGCCGCGGTTGGGGCCCTCTCGGGCCGTCTTGGACGTCTCTTCGGCGCCTTTGAAGCCTATCGGGCCGTCTTAAGGCGCTTTTGAAGCCTATTGGATCGTCTTGGGGCGATCCCCGGAGCCACGCGGAGCATTTTGCAGCGTCGGGAAGCGGAACCGGCGGAAACGCCAAAATTGTTCAGAAACCTATGGAACACACATGTGTTTTGGCATCTTCGAACTCTGTTAGGAAACCTCTTGGAAGCCTCTTGGGTATCTTGAGGGCCTGCCTCCTGGGCCGTCTGGAGGCCGTCTTGGGGCCTCTTGGAACCTTTTTGGGGCCTCTTGGGGCCCTCTTGGGGCCTCTGGCGGTGGAAGCCCACGGCGGCGGGCGGGGTCGCGAGGCACGCAGGGCCTTCGGGGCCCTGGCCAAGCGCGTGGCTGAAGCCACCGGGGAAGACGCCGCACTGGTTGCGGAACAGCGCGCACAGCCACTTTCCGCACCCCTGCACAGAGAGAACGCGCGGGCGGTGTTGCGGCGCCTTCAGGCCCCAGTCTGGAGGGGCGGGGGTGGCAGCAGCCCGCCCGGCCGCGGCCACGGCGGCTTCCACGGCAGACGCCGTGCGAGGTGCCCCTGGCGCTGTCTAGCGCCCCCCGCCCTCCCCCCCGTCCTTGCTGGGCAGCACGGGCGCCCCCCGCGCCCTTTCGCCAACGTCGCGCCGGCGACCCTCCCACGCGCCGCCCGGCCCTTCCTCGGCGGAACGGTGGAAGGACCCCGCAGAGGGCAACCCCCACCAAGCCGCATCGTGCTGGGCTTGGGCGGCCACCCCGCTCAGGTCGCCGCCGTCGGGTCCGTCCGTAGCCTCGTCGCGGATGGCTCTTCTCTCCTGGCCCTTGGCCCGGCCTGTCTGCTTGCGGTCGTTGGTTTCCCTCCTCCTTGCCCTCCTTGCCCTCCTCCTCCTCCTCCTCCTCCTCCTCCTCCTCCTCCTCCTCCTGGTCCTCCTCCTCCTCCTCCTCCTCCTCCTCGTCCTCTGCTTGCTGCTTCCCTCCATTTCCTTTCCTCCTGTTCCCTGCCTGCTGTCTCCGCCTGGCCCGTCTTCTGCCTGCCCGCCCGCCCCGCCGGCCCTGGCCTCCCGCCTGGGCGTTCGTCGTCGTCAGCCTGCTTCTCCCCTCCTCGCCCCCTTCCGCCGGACAGCGCAGCCTGCCCAGAACCAGCGTGGCGGCATGTAGGGCTTCGGCATTCTAAGACCACGCACGTGTGACCCAGGGCAGGCCAGCTTCACCCTGCGCCCTAGTTTCTCTAGTTTGGGGCCTTTTGGGGGCCTCTTGGAGCCTCTTGGGGGTTTCCTGGGGGCTTCTTGGGGCTTCTTGGGGGCATCTTGGGGCGGCGAGCTTGATTTTTCAAGTTCGCGTTCCCTCTCTTAGGCCCCTCTTGGGGCCTTCTTGGGACCCTCTTGCGCCGTTTTGGCTGGCTCTGGGGTCGTCTCGGGGCTCTCTTGGGCCGTCTTGAGGCCTCCTTGGGGGCCTCTTGCTGTTTTGGGAGCCTTCAGGCGGTGCTGTAGCGCCGGAAACACGAATCAGCGAGAATGCAAAAAAAACATCATATGTTAACCCCGAAAAAAAAAGCTCGATCTTGCCCTTAAAGGCCTCTTGGGGTGTCTTAGGGGGCCTCTGGGGCAGTTTAAAACGCATCGTGCGTCGCCAGAGACCCCTGGACGGCGTTTTGGGGGTGTCTCGAGACCGTCTGGGGCCGCTGGGATTGCTGTCTGAGGGCTCCTTAGGGCGATTTCAAGTATCCCAGAGGCGGGCCCGGGCCCCGGGCCCCACATTTGCGGTCGAGGTTCCGGCCCTCGGCCCTCGAGCCCGGTGCGCCGCTATATGTATACGACTATGACTTTTACGAGTCGTAGTATGAACATCATGAACAATAATATTCTTGATAATATCAGAATACCGGTTTTGTTATTAGTAGTAGTATCAATCGTCGTATTATCAATACTTCTCTTAGTAGTATGCAGACTCATATCCGTAAGTTCACGATTGCTGTTACTAATCAAAAATACCCTGGCGACGTACCCCACCCCTGCGCAGTGCGGGGCATGAGTAGCTTGGGAGACGTTATACAGAGGTGATGACGTGACATGGGCGCATATACTTCTGCGAGCGGCATTCGTGTGGCTCGCAGCCCCCCAGGGATTGCGAGGTCCCGCTCAGATCTGCGTAGTGCCTCACTCCGGTGGACCCGCCAGCAGCCTTTCAAAGTAGCGACGGTTTCGCAGATCGCAGCCCCCCAAGGACGGCGAGGTCCCGCTCAGATTGTTTTTTTTGTCGATGCACTGACGCATCACTGGAATCACCCCAATGTCCGCGATGCGTCTTCGCTTGCCCCGTAGTGCGCGCAACAGTGCAATGACTGTGTTTTCACACCGCCTGGCGCTGTACAGCACAGCGCACGGATCACTCGCAAGTGAATCCGCACGTGGTTCACTCTGCCGCTGTACACTGGCGAAGCATACTGCGTTGCGCTGCACAACTGACGGCCCCCTTCCATTGCCGACGCTAGAGGTCCCGCTCAGATCCCGCTCAGATCTGCGCGGTGCCGCATTCCGCTGGACCCGCCAGCAGCCCTTGAAAGTGGCGACGGTTTCGCAGATCGCAGACCCCCAGGGACGGCGAGGTCTCGTTCAGATCTGCGCGGTGCCTCCCCAGGGATGGCGAGGTCTACTTTGGATCTGCGGCGGCTACCACCCACTATGCTGCCCCCCCAAGCAGCCCCCGAAAGCGGCGACAGTTTTACAAATCGCAGCGCCCCAGGGATGGCGAGGTCTAGTTTGGATCTGCGGCGGCTACCCACTATGCTGGCCCCCAAGCAGCCCTCGAAAGAGGCGACGGTTTCGCAGATCGCAGCCCCCCCCAAGGATGGCGAGGTCGAATTTGGATCTGCGGCTGCTACCCACTATGCTGGCCCCCCAAGCAGTCCTCGAAAGTGGCGACAGCTTCGCAAATCGCAGCCACCCCAGGGATGGCGAGGTCTAATTTGGACCTGCAGCGGCTACCCACTGTGCTGCCCCCCCCCCCAAGCAGCCCTCGAAAGCAGCGACCGTTTCGCAAATCGCAGCCCCACCCCCCCAGGGATGGCGGTCTCATTTGGATCTGCGGCGGCTACCCACTACGCTGTCCCCCCATCAGCCCTCGAAAGTGGCCCCATGCACACACAAGAGGTACGGCAAGCAAGATGCACACAGGTACGCACAAGGCAAGAGGAGACAAGAGGGCGGCGAGAGGAAGGAAAAACGGACGCGCGAGCTCTGCTCTATTCAAAATTTCGCTGCCGAGGAACCCCACATATAAATCTCATGTCTTTGCGTAAGTTTATAATATATGCGCAATTCTCGACTGCTATGCCCTGGACGACCGGCGCGCATAGCGGCCACGGTGAGGGACCACCCCCTGCGCACCCCCTATGGTGTCGAGAAAATGCCACGCCTGCTATGCCCTGGACGACCGTCGTGCATAGCGGCCGCGGTGAGGGAGCACCCCCTGCGCACCCCCTCTGGTGTCGAGAAAATGTCACGCCTGCTATGCTCCTGGACGACCGGCGCGCATAGCGGCCGCGGTGAGGAGCAACCCCCTGCGCACCCCCTAAGTGTCGAGAAAAT